TGAAACATGGAGACAAAAATAGTTGTGGGTTTTTTTTCCCTTCAGATGATTTTTTTATTATGTGTGAATGTGTATCCTGCTAAGCCTCCCATGTCAGTACTGCCCTGGGGCAACGAGTCCCACAGAGCAATCACACGCTGCAAAATGAGGATGTCTTTGTTATTTATCGCTGCCTTAAAGCAAACAGTTCCTGGCCTTCTATTCTCTGTTCTTGAGGAAATCTACACTTTCTTGAAGCCTTCATGCTCACACTTGATACTGCCTCCTCCAGTGGTTGCTGCTGTTAGTGGCAGGAGCAGAAGGGAGAACAGTAGTCAACCTGAGAGCATGTGCCACTAAATAATGCAGAGGCTCTGTTTTACTCCCTCGCCTGCCTTATTACAGCCCAGTATTTTCTCTGCTGTTTTTATTTCTGTAGGTCCCTGGCCAACAATGGTCCATTTTCCTAGTTGAGCTGCAAGATCAGCTAGGATACCATGAGCGAGGATTTATTAAACTAAAGCCAATTACCAATTTCTTGACAAAACATTTTGCCACTGATCATGCCCAGCACCATGGGACGAGGGAGACGTTTCCCACCGCCTCGATGAGGCCGGTAGTTTGGGAGCTTCCCCTCTTGGGTGGCAGACCCAGTCCCTGTCCCTGATGGTTCAGATCTAAGGCTTGGAGCCTGAAAACAGCTGCGGGTTTGGGTTACATCCCTGGCAAAATGGAAAACACCTGACATCTGTATGGGAGCTCTGCCTATCCCTGCTCTCATCTGACCTCCTTGGCAATTCACCAGTGAACACATGGAGGTGGCACCTCTTCACCCCATGGGTGATGGACCTTCCCCAGCCACTGATGAAACAGCAGGAGCACAGGAGAGGGTGAAGAAGAGGGGTAGGAGCAGGAAGAACTGGATGGGACAGAGAAAAGGACAGCAGTGGAGGAGGAGAGAGGTAAGAGGGAGGAAGCCAAGAGGCGTTGCCAGGAGGAGAAAGGGAGGGAGCTCCAGAGCTCCTGGTCCCGGAGCCCCCAGCAGCACCTGGATCATTTCCCTGCATGACCCTGTCTAATTTTCGCCCCATGCAGGCAAAGCACTGGCTGTCTCCTGATTACCTTGGAGCAAGCTGAAAATGTAGTGGGACCTGGCCTTTTATTCTTGCTCCTGGCTCCGCGTGAGGTTTGCAATCAGCTGTTAATGGCTCTCCCCTCACATAATTCATTCCTCTCCCCTGTTATTGTGATTACACGGAGCCCTGAGTTTGTCCTGCCCTCCCTGAGAGGGTGCTTTGGTAGCTCAGCTACGGCAAAGGCTCCTCGTGCACAGCGAGCGGGAGAAACTCCTGTAAAGCACATTCAGGAACATCTCAAAGTCTCCGCTGCCTCTCCCCTGCAACGCTTCCAACACGGTATTCAATCACAGCTCACGACGAAGAGGCATTGTGCGCACGAGTGGCAGAGCCGGGATGGGGCTTTGTATCGAGCAGGCAGACGGGAGCCTGCCGTCAGCTACCCCGTCACTGCAAAGTCTGCGGCGCAAGGACACCGACGGCGGGGTGGACTGCACCACAGAAAGGAGGGGAAAGGAATACCAGCGTAGACTTTCAAAGAGCAACCCAAATCCATACCGTATCTCTGCTCTGGACAGGTGGCTCCTTCCCCACATGGACTGGGTCAGCCGTGCCACATCGTGAGGGATTTTGGGCTTGGGGGGGGGGGCAGGTGATCCAAGAGTATGAAGCTGCTGGTGAGGGATAAGGAGCATCATGTAAAAACAGGTTTCTGAGCAGCTGGGATTGCTTTACAATGCGAAAGCCTTCCTCAAGGATATTAGAAAGGGCCAGCACCCACCTGGACCTGGTCTGGTGTAGATACTAGTTATTATCCACTGACACCGGGGGAGTGCAACCGCAGCACCTGTCGAGGTTTTATTTGCACACATCAACTGTTCTGAGCAGTATTTGTGTGCACATGAAGATTAATGATTGATTCAGCTGTTCATTGAGACAGCAAGGCCATGGCCATTCACATCTTAAAATAGGAGACCGAAGGCCCCCCAGGTGTTGTGTGCTTGCCTGTTTCTCAGGGACACTTGCCCACACAGCCTGCCCTGACCTGGCAGAGCTGCGGAGGCTGCCGGCTCTGCAGCTCAACACCCAGCCGTGGGCACATTGGGCATCCTGGAGAGAAGCAGCTCCCACCTCTGGAGGCAGCCCAAAGGAAAATATTTGGGGTTTAGCACCTTCTCTGCATGCTGTGCCTGGGAAAGGGATGGGGGACAAGGCAATGATGAAGATGCTCTGCAGCCCCACCTCCCATGGGTCCAAACCTGCCTTTGGGCAGGTTGAACCAACATGAAAAGCTACTTATCATGCCAGATGCCACCAGCACTCCCCTGGACCCAGCCAGCCAGCGCAGTCACTGGTGGGGATGCTCCTGTAACGCTGCTTGCTGAGGGTTCATCCTCCCCTGTCACGAAAATGCAGCTGCCCATTGCTTTTAGGTCAGGATGTATAACCTGCTTTCCTGTTTTGAAAGAACATTTCCATCTGCACTGCTCTGCTGGTGGCTAAGGAGGCTGCAAATCCCTCTAAGTCAAGCTGCGGAGGTACCCCTGAGCACCTGCATTCGCTCACTCGGACGGGACAGTCAGGCAGCCAAATGAAAGGGAAGCATTTTAGCTCCTCACACAGGGAATTTAACTCCAAATGTGATTCAGCTGTGAGAGGAACGGCTCCCTGCCAGGACATGAACCTTCAGTCTTTAAGTACAAAAATTCCCGGGAACATATAATTTCCCTTTCAATACGTAAAATCCTGTGTCTCTGCCGATAAGAATTCTTTAGCAGCAGCCTTGCCATTGTTTGCAGGATAAAAATCCCATTAACTGTGTGTTATATTCACCAACAGTTTCCTCTTTTTTGGGGGCCGGCTGTGTTTCAGAACTCCTTTACCTGCCTGGAGGCAACGTATGCTTTTCCAGCGGTGATGTTCGACAGCAGAGCATCACAGCCGAGCGCTGCGCCGATGCCGCTAACCACGACTGCCCTCTACCTCCCTGGGCTCTGCAGCACATCGCTGCTGCACCCCATGCCTGCACTGCTGCTGAGCATAGATTTTGGGGGACGAGGGATGCTCCACTGCCAAGATCATGGAGGAAGCTTCCCCAGGCCCACAACAGGCTGGTGAACGTGCCCTCCCAGAAACCTGCTCAGCGGGGACCAACTTCTGCTCCTTTGCCTCTCGCTGAGGTTGCGCCTTTGGCAGCTCAGATGATCAAACCCTGCCTCTGCCTCACAGTATGCCTCTTCCCTTCCCTGGGACATCCCAAATTTGAGCATGCCCCGACTAACCGAGCCTAAACCCTTGGGGTTTGGGTGAAGATGGGGAGGACTGAATGGGAACGGGCCATGAGCGAGCCGCTCACCATGTCGCATTATGCATTCGCCTCTTACATCACTGTTCCAATTAATGAGTCTTTACAAAAATCTCTTATTACAAAGAGAAGAAAATTGGGCCTTTAACGTAAGCCCACTGTTTTCAAAAAGCTGTTAAGTCTAACGAGGAATTAAATTATTTTTGTTATCAGAGTAATACATAATATATTCATTTACAATAGCCTGCAAAAAGAAAACTTCACAGAATTGGCTGTGACGTGTATGAAAAGAGATGCCACAAGATTGTAATTTAAAAGGATGGGCAACTAATTAAAAACTGAGTGCAGTGGTTCCATCTGCAGACTCAAACCATTCTAGAGGCTGTATTGTCTTACTTGCATCACACATGTCAAACCAACCTTACACCGCTTGCAAGACAATGCTTATATTTTGAGTCTGTTTAGCAAAGAGTTTCTTGGGAAGGGAAAATTCATTAATTTCTCGATTCGGGGGTAGATTTTCTAATGCATGCAATGAACCACTTGGATCCCAATGACCTTCTGGGAATGTGCTCGCACTAGTGGTGGGGCACAAGATGGGCAGAGCTGGTGCTGAGGACCCAGCGGCCACATACACATCAGGGGCTTGCTCTGAAGCAGCCCATTAGCAGTCGGATCGCGCTGTGTGTGAGAGCACACCTCTCGGTAAGGTCATGCGGAAGGGACCTAATCCGTGCTCCTCAGGACCACTGCAAGGTCAGCCAACGCACAAGAGGTGGGTACAATCAGGAGATTCACATCAAACACGCTGCTGAGATCAATTAAAATGCTAATATAGACACAACCATAGCCTGATGCAAATGGTACCCATATATCTGTATTCTGTGCATCTGCTTCGCTCGCCTGAGTCAAGCAGCGGTAACCTGGAGCGGTCTGTAACACTGTCATTTGTCACTGCAGACAGCCAGAGACGGCTGCTAACGCCACGCTGTAGCATCCCTGAATCACCTTGATTGGGGGTCTCTCACTAAGTAGCATTACACACTAGAGATGTGTTGGTGGAAGGCAAGAAAACAGGAAATTATGACACCTGGTGACATTTGCTGGTGAGGGGAGCTTTTGCTGAAGTTAAACTTGCAGTACCAGATTGAGAATACAACTGGTATTTTTGCAGAGTGACAAACTAGACCCACAAATGCCTTCTGCTGATTTCATTGGAAGTTAGAGGCTTATGAACTCTGTGGCTTTGAGCTTTAGTTTCCCAGGCCTACCTCTTGGAGAGTGTCAGGAGAGTTGGTGCTCAACTCTCCAAAACACTCAAAATTTCAGAAATCTTAGTTCAGTGCTTTCAAGAGTTGAGTCTGCCAGCATCCCAAGATGGGAAGTTGTAGCCTCAAAAGTTATTTGTCTTTCTGAATAACCTTTCATACACACACGTACATAATTGTCTGTTACACAGGCGCATCCTATCAATAATGAGTGTTTTCCAGGGACAAGGCATAAATCTGTATTTATGCCACATCCAGTTTGTGCTTGAGCCTGTGTCACACAGACAAAAGCAATAGCGTGTGAGGAGACAGTGCTCGCCCCATCACGCTTAATTTCTGTGAAAAGCGACACAAATGACATCTGGTACTCACAGCACAGTGCCAGTGCTTTTCCTCTTGATCTTGAAGTGTGAGGAGTCATCTGCAAACTCCACGTCGTAGTTGGCCTCCTCAGCGGTAACCCCGGGGGAGTCGATCTTGAGTGGGACTTCAAACCGCTCTCTGTTGGGGTCGTAGAGCTAAAGCAAGGCAAGGAGGAGGCAGGTTAGCCCATTCGTTAGCGTGTGTTGCTTTGGTTAAAATATTTACTCCCCCCAACAAATACTCACCCTGAACCGGAGTCTGTCCTTTGTCTGGAACTCCACTTCCAAGACAACAGGGGAAATGTCATTTCCAAAGAGGGACAAGGCCTGGCGTTTGTTCAGCGTTACCCTGTGGCAGAAACAGGTGTTGGTGCCCACCACAACTGCTCACTGCCTGTGACCACCCTGGTGCGGGCCAGGAGGAGCAACTCTGCTATTCTACCTCGGCTCTTTAAAAATAAATCAGTGACTTATCAAGAGAAATAATCTCTGAGGTTAGCTTAGGCTCTCCTTGCCGTTAATGGATAAAAAAGGTGCTGGTGAAGCGAGGAGACCTTGTGGTCTCCTGGGACACAGCTCCCAGGGTAGGATGGAGGGACTACCCCATGCCAGCGCATGGTTTCCTCACCAGCAGCGTGGTGTGACCACCGGACCCATCTCTGCGTGGCTTATACGCAGGGAAAGATGTCCATTATCCTCCTCGCTACCACAAGGAGGACAATGGACAAGTTATGGATGTGGTAGCTGCTTCGCCACCACGTGCTCAGCTCACATACAGCGTGGGGAAGGTCTCTGTTGAACTGCCCTGGGGCTAGCAGTGGTGGTTGCTGTGCGGTACCGGACCGCAGCACCGAAAGAGCTGCGCGCACTTACTTCCAGCCTGTGGCTGTCTTCTCGGTGTTCCCGCCCAGGGAGTAGCCGGAGGGGGTGGCCTCGGGGAAGAAGCACCAGGGAG